ATGTAATAATTTGATGAATCCCAGGAGTCTCGCACTGATACATTTATTGTACATGTGATTGATACGGACGCAAACTAAGGGTAGGGAACCTGTCTTCATCCTTTACAATTGTGACACTGTTGGAATTCCTGCACTTTAGGGGAAATTCAATAAAGATGGGACACGATTTGTGTACTTTAATGTGCTGTCGGTCACTACATGTGTTCTCGTCTCTTTCCATACTTACTATCAAACCATATCAGTATTTTATTGTACTCCTGTCGATAAATTTATTGGAAAACTCTAATCTTTCCTCCTGTCATCTATGGTTGGTCCTGCATGTCAATGAAGCAGAGTCGATGGGAGAGAGCTTGAGATGCTATACTGTTCTGTATTGTACAACACTGATGGCGTTGCCGAGTATCACACAATCCACAGTATGAACAAGAACACAAGACTTTGATGAAATGCTTTTTTCCACTTTCATAACCAGGGTTAGGAGATTTCTATAGGAATGTGTACATTTCCTCAAAGGTTGTATTGATTGAACTGAATATTCCAAACTCATCTGCTTTATGTTTGTACAAATGATACAAAGCACTTTAAAAGATATTGCCAAATGACGATATGCTCTTTTCCATTTGTACTATCAGGATTGCATGGTTTCTAGTCATACATTTCAATCAAGAATATTGACTCATCAGAACATTCTTTTTCTCTATTGACAATGATTATTATACCATTTCTATGCTTTTATCATAGGTGGTGACAAAATTGAGGTCACCTCATGGCGACTATACTGCGGTCACCTCATGACAACAATATTGAGGTCACCTTATGGCGACAATATTGAGGTCACCTCATGGCAACAATACAGCGGTCACCTCATGGCGACAATATCGAGGTCACCTCATCGTGACAAAATTGAGGTCACCTCATGGCGACAATATTGAGGTCACCTCATGGCGACAATACAGCGGTCACCTCATGGCGACAATATCGAGGTCACCTCATCGTGACAAAATTGAGGTCACCTCATGGCGACAATATTGAGGTCACCTTATGGCAACAATATTGAGGTCACCTCATGGCGACAATATTGAGGTCACCTCATGGCGATAATATTGAGGTCACCTTTTGTCCTGCATCTTAGTATTGTTTTTTCATCAATTTTTCGACTTCTTCTCAAAAAAAAAACCTAAACCAATTTCAAAGAAATTTTGCAGAAACCTTCCCTGATCACAGTTAAACAAAAATAAAATGGTGAATTATAGGGTCCCTGACCTCAAGGGCATGAGGGTGAGGTCAAATTGACACAAATTTCAAAAAAGTGTTTCTCAACACCCAAGTATGGTAAAATCAAACGCTTTTTGTTGTTGGAAGGATCTTAAGGTGCTTTACCAAAATTGTGAATTTCATGACCCCCAAGGTTTGATATTTCCATGTGGGGAGGAGGTGAAGTGAACTATAGATTTTTAAACGATAATTACCTTTTTTAGCATCATGTTGTTTATAAGTATAGGATGACAGTTTTGGTGGAATGCATGTATTGACACTGGCTTTCTTTCATAATGTCACAATTTCTTTTTGGTAATACTTAAAGCTACCGTTTAACCTTTATATCCAATATTGTTTATCTCAGGTGACCTTCCAGGTCGCTAGGTCTCTTCTTAAATAAATAAAATGTTGATTTTTTTTTTAAAAAATGAAAAAATTCTCCTAATTTAATGAGAGCCCATATACTGTTAAATCTAAAACTCTAAACTTAGGAAATTAATTCCTTGACAACAGAAGTTACTTTAAATGTCAGAGAAGATTAAATTGAAAAGGAAAGTGACCCTTAATGTGAAAAATTAATTCACTAACAACTCTAAAATCAGAAATTTATTGACAAGGGAAATAAATCTTAATGTGAAAGATGAGTTCATTGCCTAGAGAAGTTTCTCTAAATTTCAGGGATGAATTCGTTGACAAGGGAATTCCATTTAGTTACTGTAAATGATATCTATCTAAGCCTGGAAATCTGTGTTACTCAATATCAACAATGTATTGAATTTTTTTCATTTCTTCCCTGTTCCTTGTCTATCCTTTATTTTAAGCAACATATTCTAGTATAATAGGAAGGAGAAATGAAAAACACCCTGTCCTGCTGGGATTCGAACTAGTAACCTTTTAGTCTTTAGCCGTACACTACAACACGGTACTACAGGAAGTTAGTACTCTCCAGCTGGCACTAGTCAGGTAACATGTACTTACTACTTCTATAATCGTAGTATCAATCCGACGTTTTAGGACCATGTATAAAACCAATGTGTGATTGGTTTTAGGATTTTTTTAATAATCACTTACAAAGACATGATAAAGGAAAACTTTATAAATACAACAACATCGAAAGTAAACGTATCGGTTAGAGTTACTCCCCTTGGCCTGTTAATCCCACCGAAAAATATGTCTCCATGGTGATTTCATCCAATGAAACCTGACTTCTTATTTTATCGATCCTTTAGCAACAATAAAAATATCATGTCGATTCTATCACCGGGGTTGCGATTCAGATTTTTTTCACGTCTGCTAAACAGGAAGTAATTGTCTTTGCCTGTCTACTTGGGAACAAAACTCTTGGCAAGGACCAAACCTGGCTTTTGAACGGTGTCTGTGTCTGTGCTTATCTTGTAGAGTACCTATTAGCTGTGAAAACAGAAATTTGCATATGACAAAGGTCTTCCAGCCAAGATGGAGCTATATCGTAGATGTCACTCACCATGCTTGGTAATGAGTTTACACACTGTACAGGTCTAGAGACCAAGATGTAGGTGCCAATTTTATTTACGTGTTTCCTCGTAAAGTACAGTGCTTAAGTCTAATGCTACAGTACAATGCACATTGATTAATTTATTAAAGATTTTTTCCAGTCTTTGAAATTTCTAGAAGATTCTCTCTATGTACGTCTTTTCTGCTTCTATCATTGCATTGCATTGATTTATGTATATTTATGTAGATGTATATTGGTTTAAACTGTTACTTTATGAGACTACGACCCAGGAGTTTGTAGTCAGTGTCTCCATGATTAAATATGTCTCTGGGAGCAATCAGCCAGCTGTCGTTACATTAGTATCCCACTGGCTATTGTGTGGAGAGATTCCTTTCCTTGGACAAAACTCTCGCATGCTGAGTAATGGTCAGAACACTGTAGATCAATCCCTTCCACCATATTTTACAATCAGACCGTAATTTCGGTTCGGACAGGCTCTAATCGGGGCAGCAGAGTTGTTAACATATCAGCTGACTCACTATAATGTGTCCTTGACCAACCCTCCACCCTATTAAGGAGAGCTTAAGAATACCAATTTCTAGCCCCAATTTTAGATATTCTAAAGGGTGTATAACTTCAAAAATCTAATTAGTCCACCACAAAGAGCAACAGAATGTTTCAAGGTAATCATTGAAATGGTAAAGGAGGTTGTTCAGTGTGTTTTTCTGAGAGGCATGAAGATTTGTGCAATTGAAATCTTGATTTTCCCATTGAAATTTCCCACTGTTGAGTGATAAAGATTGTCTGGTAAGATGGCAAAGAGATTACCCTGTAAATAAATGCAATGACTTGAGTGCCAAGCTCTTAACTTTCCTTAAGATATGAGATGCTTTGTACTAAGATTTAGTCACAGTATGTTCATTGACTTAAACTATAAATAAACCTACCCTTTGTTTTAATTAATTAAACTATGGATGTGAGATTTTGTAGTCTACTATTACTACTGAAATAATTGTCCTCAGTAGGGCCATAGTCTACTCTTACCACTGAAATAATTGTCCTCTGTAGAGGCGGTAGTCTACTCTTACTGCTGAAATAATTGTCCTCTGTAGATGCCGTAGTCTACTCTTACTGCTGAAATAATTGTCCTATGTAGAGGCCATAGTCTACCCTTACTACTGAAATAATTGTCCTCTGTAGAGGCTGTAGTCTACTCTTACTTCTGAAATAATTGTCCTCTATAGAGGCCGTAGTCTACTCTTACTACTGAAATAATTGTCCTCTGTAGAGGCCGTAGTCTACTCTTACTACTGAAATAATTGTCCTCTGTAGAGGCCGTAGTCTACTCTTACTACTGAAATAATTGTCCTCTGTAGAGGCCGTAGTCTACCCTTACTACTGAAATAATTGTCCTGTGTAGAGGCCGTAGTCTACCCTTACTACTGAAATAATTGTCCTCTGTAGAGGCCGTAGTCTACCCTTACTACTGAAATAATTGTCCTCTGTAGAGGCCGTAGTCTACCCTTACTACTGAAATAATTGTCCTCTGTAGATGCCGTAGTCTACCCTTACTACTGAAATAATTGTCCTCTGTAGAGGCCGTAGTCTACCCTTACTACTGAAATAATTGTCCTCTGTAGGGGCCGTAGTCTACCCTTACTACTGAAATAATTGTCCTCTATAGCTGCCATAGTCTCCCAACTGCCAGGCCGTAGTCTACCCTTACTACTGAAATAATTGTCCTCTGTAGAGGCCGTAGTCTACCCTTACTACTGAAATAATTGTCCTCTGTAGATGCCGTAGTCTACCCTTACTACTGAAATAATTGTCCTCTGTAGAGGCCGTAGTCTACCCTTACTACTGAAATAATTGTCCTCTGTAGGGGCCGTAGTCTACCCTTACTACTGAAATAATTGTCCTCTATAGCTGCCATAGTCTACCCTTACTACTGAAATAATTGTCCTCTGTAGATGCCGTAGTCTACCCTTACTACTGAAATAATTGTCCTCTGTAGAGGCCGTAGTCTACCCTTACTACTGAAATAATTGTCCTCTGTAGGGGCTGTATTCTACTCTTACTTCTGAAGTAAGTTTCCTCTATAGCTGCCATAGTCTACTCTTCTGAAATAATTTTCCTCTATAGCTGCCATAGTCTATTCGTACTACTGAAGCCTGAAAACATCAACAGATGTCAGTAGATGGTTTAGATGAAGTGGGATAAGGTGCTGGAAATGTATAATTTTTAAGTTTTATCATTTTTGTTTTTACAGGAGCTGCCTATATTCTGACAGCACCAGTCAACACCACTGCCATCGCCGGTCAGCGAATTGTATTCACCTGTGGAGCTGATGCTTTCCCTACAAACATCACATATCATTGGTTCTTCAAAAATCAGGATGTTGTCACAACGCGGGCCTACCTCAAGGGGAGGATACAGATCAAGAGCTCTGGCGACCTTGTCATTTCTCCAGTGGAGAAGGACGACATGGGCTGGTATATCTGTCGGCCAACAAACGGCGTTGGAAGGGATCCTGAGGCACCAGCCTACCTCAATGTAACATGTAAGTTTGATCAAGTTTTACCTTAGGGGTGAAAGTTTGACTTTATTCAATTTGTAAATACATACAGAAAAGAGAAAAGGTCTGTGGTCAAGGGGTTAGAGAGGGGATAGGGTATTTAGGGAGGGTCCACGATAATCTAGTAAAAATTTGTTTGTGAAACTTTTGATTTGGACAGAAATGCAGATATGATAGGCAACTGTCTGGAAACTTGCTTTCAAGTTTTGGGAAAAACTCTCTGGAAATAAATTTATCTCAGTAAAATTCTCTTATTAGTTCATTAAATAAGCAAAAATATGACCTACATAATAATATTCCATGGTCATTTCTTCAAAATTTGATCAAAGATATCAGAGATCAGATGATTAAGATTACATTAGATGAGTTGATCAGGGTTTCTAGGTCAGTATCATGGTTTATAGGATAAAAATATTTCATGATTTCACTCATATCTGTAGCTACCAATGGAAAAAAAATTATCTCACAAATTGATCTTGATTTGTTTACTGTTGTTTATCAGACCTGCCCAAGGTCCTCTCTATGCCAAGTGTGGTCACGTGGGCACTCGGACTCCAAGCACAATTGGACTGTCCTGTGGAAGCTAACCCGGCTGTCAGCGAGTATATCTGGACTAAAAATAATTTTATGGTTGCTGTACACCCAGATCGGATCACCCTATTAGCCAATGGCACATTACTTATATACAATGTTCGGAAGTCAGACGAAGGAAGCTATAGCTGTCAGCCCGTCAGTCCTCTCGGCAGTGGAGAAACGTCTAAGCTTGTCCAAGTGTCAGTTCGAGGTTAGTCTCAAGGTCACAGCCACTAATGCAGTTGACCATTAAAGACTTTAAAACTTCAAACAACTCCAATTCTGAAAAGCTCAAATGCACATGATTAAGATGGATGACATTGACTCGCTTTCAAGGTCACAGAGGTTAAATGTTGTAAGATATATAAACTACTGAAAGAATAATTAGGGGGTTGGGAAGGGGGAGGTAGTTTAGGGAAAGGAGGTCTTCTGTTCTTCAGCAGAAAAAATGAGAAATACAATTCCAAACTACAGGCCCATTAGGCCTCTTGTCTTGATAATTGTACTTTTGGTCCATTTTGATTCAGGGTTTTGGTTATTGTAATGTTACATAGGTAGTTAGACTATCATGTTATTGAAGATATTGTATATATCACAGAGATGTGACAATATTCTAATTTTGAACCACACATATTTTTGCAGACCCACCTCAATTTGTTCTTCGGCCATTGGAACGTTACATTCAGATTCCGGGGGACAATATCATGTTTCCCTGTGCAGCCACAGGCTCTCCAACTCCAAACATTCACTGGCGCAAAGTTGGAGAGCAGCTCAACTTTGGGGCTCGAATCCAACAAATAGGAGGCAACCTTACAATCAAAGACCTTGTGAAGGAGGACCACGGTGGATACGAATGCGAGGCAGAAAATTCGGTAGCAAGAATGGTCGTCTCAACCAAATTAATTATACAAAGTAAGTTTCAAACCATCAGTATCAATTTTGATATTTTCTGTTGAATACTTACTTATAATCAGCAAGGTTTCTTCAAGGAATTTGATTTATATTGTGTATCTTTATAGTGTTCATGTTATTTAATATAGATAACAGGGCCTAGAAATCTTTACCTTAATTCTGTCTCTTGTTTCTAGTGACAACACCACATGCGCCTTACAATGTTACTGTTTCAACCAAGTGGTTTGAGGCCACAGTGAGATGGATTCCTGCATACAATGGAGGCAGTCCACAGTACTACTTTATATGGTAATGTCCTCAGTGTTTTTAGCCCCTCCTATAACAACTATTTCATTGGTGGATGATCCAAATGTTTCTCCTTGTTGGAGGTGATATTTTATTTTCAGATGACAAGGTGTATTTATTAGATGTATTATTTGTTAAAGATATTCACACTTCTAAAGTTTGTTTTTTTTTATTAATGAATCTTGGTGTATATACACAAAGTTTTATACAAATTTATTTTAAATATTTACTGATGTCTACAGTATCTGTCTTGTAATGAAGCCAACATATTGCTTTCTGAGTTCAGAAGATGGGGTTATTACAGAACGAGATAACATTCGTTTATAATTCTACCAGACAGCAATAGATATGGGTGGGCTTATTACAGGACGATGAAATAGCATTGGTTTGTAAATTATACTAGACAGCATTAGATATGGGTGGGCTTATTACAGGACAATGATATAGCATTTGTTTGTAATTCTACTAGACAGCAATAGATATGGATGGGCTTATTACAGGACAATGAAATAGCATTTGTTTGTAATTCTACCAGACAACAATAGATATGGGTGGGCTTATTACAGGACAAGGAAATAGCATTGGTTTGTAATTATACTAGACAGCACTAGATATAGGTTGGCTGTGTTAGATATAAACAATAAAGGTACATCAATTTACCAATATATACATTTTGTAGGTACATGATTATTTACCTTAATGTTCAATGCTGTTGTCTTGGGGGTAAAAAACACATTAAAATTGGTGCAAAAATTTGACAAATTTAATTGTCTGGGATGTCTCTTTCACTGTGTATATATGTATTGATTTATTCAGTACATCAAACATGGATGCCTGCGTCCAGTGCTGATGTTGTGTCATACTCATCACCGCACCTACATCATTATTTTCACCTACTCAGCATTGATGGGTTCCTGTCATTCCATGTAGATAAGGGATGGTAACTAGAGTTTTACATATGAATAATCATAGGATCCATATCATCAGTAGGCCGAGCAAACAAAATTGTCAGTTTTCCCCATATCTGACTGGTAGGCCAAGCAAACAAAATTGTCAGTTTTCCCCATATCTGACTGGTAGGCCAATTGAACCAAATTGTCTGTTTAAGCAGTACAGACGATATATCGAAAAAAACGTGGGGGAAAAAATTTGTTTAAGTGATACTCTAGATATACCAGTAAGCCATACAAACCAATAGCCAGCTGTTAACTCTTTGTAGTGTACCAATAACAGGCCAGATGAAATAACAAAAATATTTTGATAACTATGTTCATGATTTATTGGTAGGTTAAATGAATGAATTGTTCTGCCTTTCAGGAATAAAATGGAATCTTTTGATCTTCAGGGTAAAAAAAAATATACTTAAATCTAACATTTAATAATCTGTGGCTCAATGGGTTACTGATAGAATAGTGTTCTTTGAACAGCACTAGATCAAATGGACTTATAAGAAATAGTCTTGCTGTAAAATAAAATTGCATCTTTTTACATTTTTCAGAATCTAAATAAAGCAGTTTTGGTATCTTGTAACCTGATTAACTGTAGAAACATTTTATGAAGATTTTTTTTTCTTATCATTATATTTGAAGCATACATTTATTTGAAGTTATGAAACAAACCTGCTTGTAGTATGTACTGAGGGCGATTTGATCTGTCATCGTTCAATCATAACGATTGTTCTTTCATTAAGTTACATCAATGAATATCAAACATTTCATCTCAGGTGCAAAGTTTTCGGGTGATTTCATTTACCAATTAATTAATTAAAAACTCATTGTAACTGAAAATAAAAAAATATACTCATTATTTGAATTGTGATGAAATTGATTTGTGAGCAACTTCAAAGTGACAATGTTTGTTTGGTTTGAGGAAAGTGTTATTTCGCAGTAGTATTAACATCATTTCTGAAATCACCTATCAATGCTGTGTATGCTTGACAAATTTGTGTGAAAAATAAGTTTACTGTTTCATAAATTATTTCTTTTTTTAAGGTACATAAAAATTGAAACTTAATGAACATGTTTTCAGACTTAAAATATTTATTTGAAAATAGAAAAAATCCAAATGATATATAGTTATAAAGTTTTTGAAAAAAAAATATTAAAAATTTGCGAAAAAATGTTTGTCACCTGTTAAGCTGACAATGCTTTGAAAAGCTTTTATGCAACACAGGATTAGTCTACATATTATTTGATACTGTTCTTAACACAGGTTTTAAAGATAAATTCAACAATGAATACAAACACAAGGTTTTTCATAGGAAAAATATGGTAATGTCTTTCCATGTTGCTGATAGATATGTAAATCCACAGGTTTGCCACAAACTCTTGTAGATGTAATCACCTGTTCAATCTCGTATCATCCATTCTGTCCTGCTCCATCCCACATCACTGTCATCATTCCATCAACATACTTTTTAAAGAATTTTTATCAAACTTTAAACGAAGGTCAACTAGAACAATACTGTATACTGGGAAATTTTTTTTCGTTCATGTTTAATTTTTGCCGTTTTCATCTATGAACAGGAAGGATAATTTAAGATGGAAGCAAAAATTTGTTACACCCTTTTATACAATCCTTAGAGGGCAAAATGAACATGATGCAAATTTGTGAAAAATGGTGCAAGTACAAAAATATCCTGGTATACAGAACCCAAAATAAAGTTTGTGTTTTAGGTTCTTAGGACAAAATTACTGTTAGAAAAAAAATTGTAACCTCTTATTCAAAATCAGGGGTGGGCTTATCACAGGACATTGAAATATTATTTGATATCAATTCTATCAAATATCAATATATATGGGTGGGCTTATTACAGTACAATGAAATTATACCCATTTTAAACTATATCAAACATCAATATATATTGGTGGGCTTTTCAGTAGACGTGGGCTTATTACAACATAAGTATGGTATTTTTGAGTCATTTTGTTGTGTCTTTGTAATTTTAGGTACAGAACGGTCAACAGCATGACAGGTCAGACGTCCCAGTGGCAAATGATGCGTGTGGAACCAGAAAATGCCACTAGTTTTACGATATACATGCTTCAGCCCGATTCCCTCTACCAGATAAAAGTCCTCGCACGTAACCAGTATGGTGACGGAACGTACAGTGAGACAGTACAGGCACGAACGCTTGGTATGTATGAGAACCTCATGCCACACACTAAAATCATCTCAGTATTTTGACATTCTCACCTGTAACACACTTTTATCATGATCACTCTCCTTCTTCCACCAATTTGAGGAATAAACCTGAAATAAATTTATCCTTATTTTTTTATTCAAATAACCTGCACATCCATGTTTTAATAATATAAGAAAGTTATCCATTTTTGATGATGGAATATTTTCATTTCTGTACTGTAGAGGTCATATGAACATGTTTAAAATCATTTGCAATTACAACAGTATTCCTGATTTTGATTAGCATGGTAGTACAAAGTAGCCATTTTTTTTTTTTTATGCAACTTTGAAGTTGGATCTTTTATTCGTTATTTTTTGCAGCCGTTAAAAAAGATGTAGTGTATGTTTCGTTTTAATTTTTTTTTCTCTCATAACAGTGGAAATTTGCACACTATGTCTAAACTTGTATTTTTATATTAAGAGTGTGCAGGTTTCATAGGTTTGTAAAAAAAAAATTGTTTAACAAGGAAGGAATGCAACTCAAATTGGCCTTTATCATTCATCTGTGCCTGGCATACCATACAGATATTTTGAATTTCAAATAGAATATTTCAATTAATAATCTGATCACTTGGGCTTATTTGCAAAATAATTTTTTATGAATAATTTCTGATGAAGTGTCTCGTTTCAAATTTTCACTTATTTTATTACTGGTAAATTTTGAAATTCATATAGGCAAAAATTAAGTTCAAGGATATTCATATGATTTATTAATTTTCAAAATGATATTTTTTCAATTTGAGTTTAGCATTCCATTTGTAAAATTAAATCATATTATGAAAGGAACATGTTTTTCTGTGATGTTTCAAGAGAAAGGAGATGCAAAGATGTCAAAGTATTGTTAGTATGATGTATATCATGATCTTAGCTATAACTGATCATAAATCTTTGTCTATAATGTTCTTTCTCAACAGTATATAACATAGGGACTATGTGTTGTAAGTGCTTTGTACATTATCGGATAAGGGAAATAACTCAATTATATTGTAATTATCTGCCCCTGAGATGGTGAAAGGGTTAAGGCTGTATGTGTTTAAGTCTATAACCATGTTGACGTATATATCGTGCGTATTCGTGTTGGCCGTGTGTCTCAAACATTTATTTCTGCTTTTTTAAAACAAACCACTTATAAACTTTATTTTTTCAGCTTTTGTATCAAACGCTTTTTCTATAGATGTTATTTAAGACTTTCTAAATTATGCACAATTTTCCTTCAAGTACAATATATAACAAGACACACAAGATACTCCCAAAATAGAATCTTTGAGGTTTATATTGAAAAAGCAAAATGGACTTTGACAAAATGGACACCTTTAAACACATTAAAAGAAATTTTGAAATGTGAAAAAAAAAAAAATTTAATGTGAATCTTCATAACAATATAGACAGCTGGACACCTATCAGTTAGCTTTTAACATAAAAAGATGCATATGTTTGAAAGTTTCCAAACACACAATCACTAAGACATTTGGGCAAGTGTATAAGACAGACACTTGGACACATTTAAGACAGTTGCGATGAAAAAGATTTGACAAAAAAGAAAGCTAAGGTTTTTTGACAATTGCAAAGGAGAATTAAGACACTCAGAACCTATAAGAAAGGCAAATAGAAATGAACAACGTTTACAGGTAGACACAAAAATAGACAGATAAGTATTTAACACTTGGACACATACAAGATGACACATGAACAGGAGTGACACTTAATACAAGAAAGACACACGGACAGGATTGACACTTGGACACACACTAGGTGACATGTGAACAGGAGTGACACTTAATACAAGGAACACTCATGAACAGGAGTAACACTTAATACAAGGAAGACACATGAACAGGAGTGACACTTAATACAAGAAAGACACATGGACAGGATTGACACTTGGACACATACAACAATGATAATATGTAATAACAAAACTGGTGTCTGGATATATAAGCCTTAACAAACAATAAACCTGCTGGTGAATTAATATTTCTGTGTTTAACAGTACCCTTATAACAATCTTTGTCCCAAAGTAAATGAAATATTTACAATATATCAGCACAGTGGTAGGTGAGATGGGTAATCTTAATATTACCTGAATTTTAAAAAAAGTCAATAAAAGCTGTTACTAATGAGGAGATTCCTTGAAACATTACAAAACTGAGGTAGAGTAAGTCAACATGGCGGGCCTCAACTCACTTTGCCAAATATTTGTTTCACTCTGCAGCACTTAAATGTAGTGGTAGTTTATAAGGGGTGGGAGTGGTAGAGGTGTGTGAAGTGGTAGTGGTGTGTGAAGTGGTAGTGGTGTGTGAAGTGGTAGTGGAGTGTGAAGTGGTAGTGGTGTGTGAAGTGGTAGGGGTGTGTGAAGTGGTAGTGGTGTGTGAAGTGGTAGTTGTGTGTGAAGTGGTAGTAGTATGAGAAGTGGAAGTGGTGTATGAAGTGGTAGTGGTGTATGAAGTGGTTGTGGTGTATGTAGTGGTGTGTGAAGTGACAGATGTATGAGAAGTGGTAGTAGTATGAGAAGTGATAGAAGTGTGTGAAGTGGTAGTGGTGTGTGAAGTGGTAGTGGTGTGTGAAGTGGTAGTTGTGTATGAAGTGGTAGAAGTGGTAGGAGTGATAGTGGTAGTGTATTTTGAATGGATCTTGAGAGTGTGTAGCAGTAGAGTATTTTGAGTGGGTATGGAGTATGTGCATCAATAATATATTTTGAGTGTGTCTGGAGTGTGTGTAGTGGTAGTGTATTTTAGGTGGGTCTGGAGTGTGTGTAGTGGTAGTGTATTTTAGGTGGGTCTGGAGTGTGTGTAGTGGTAGTGTATTTTAGGTGGGTCTGGAGTGTGTGTAGTGGTAGTGTATTTTAGGTGGGTCTGGAGTGTGTGTGTAGTGGTAGTGTATTTTAGGTGGGTTTGGAGTGTGTGTAGCAGTAGAGTATTTTGAGTAGTATTAGTGCATGTACCCATAGTGTGTATATTAGAAGTGCTGAAATGGTAGTGTATCTCGGAGTGTATGTAGTGCTGGTGATGTATTTGAATGGTTAAGAATGGTCAGAGTGTGTGTTTGTACTATTAGTGTAGTGGGTATGGGTCAAACTTATCACGTAGTTGTATTGTAGTGTTCCGACAGTTATAGTGCACTGAATGTGCAAGTTTTTTTATTGCATGGGTGTGTCATTGGAATGATTGACATGTGTAGTTAGATTTTGATTGGATATCCAAAATATTAGATGCTTTCAAAACTTTGTAACCTTGAATGTGCTAGGTTGCAAAGATTTTGATTTTGAAAAAAAATAACTTCTGTCACTAGGAGATGGGTCGAACTCTTTAATAGCTTCTTCTGAGCGAGGTCAAGTGTTGAAATCAATCACTCATGATTTCCTTATATGGATGATTGATTTCATGTTTAACTATATAGACATGACCTTGGAGCTGACAGAAGATGTTATGCGAGGGCGTTGCTATCCCCTGAAGACAATTTTTTTTTAATCTGGGTTTAATTCTCAAACCTACCAGCTGAATATGCTAGCTTTTTGACATTTCTGAAGTGGCTGCAATATCAAAGTAGTTGCAATGGCTACGGTTGGTTGTCATGTATGGTTGAAATGACGTTTGTTTTGTGATAATTTTTACATGCTTACTCAGGAAACAGCACCCAAACAACCTCGACAACGATTGGTACATTCTTTTCTCATTAGCATAATGTCCTCTTTGCAGAAAACGTTTGTTGCACTCTTTCACCTTGCCTTACTCTCTGCATGTGTCACATGACTTTACCCATGATGCATTTCTGATGTTTTGAGATTTCAAGCAGCCTGTGTCTGATAGCATTTTGACCTGTCTTTTTCTTATAATTTTTCCCTCAATTTCCAAATGGTTAAACTTGATTTAGATAACTGTGTATGTTTTATGTTTTGATGACCCACTCCGTGTCACCCCTCCCAAACTTTCCCATTGAATACCTATTAACCCTTTCACCCTCTTTCTACCGTTAGCCCGGTTATTAGGAAAACGTAATTTTGACATACCCTGATTTTTAGAGAAGATTTAAAGAAAACACCCCGTTATTTAGTGTCATTGCTTTTATCCTGAATTCAGTTTTCCCACTGGAACTGTTCAATGTTGATTTGCCTGTGTAGGAGTACATAGGAAAATGGTGACCTAAAAATTCTTTGATGTTTGTCATGTTTATTATGCAGATAAAGTAACATACAGAGCTATATCCAACTTGTATTGATATAATGTTTTGTTACAGTATAAAAACTCTGCTGTTTGTCGATTAAAACATTTGCTTTGTGAAATCTGTTTACAATTTTGTAATACTCTAAAATATATAGCATTGAATTTAGTCTTTATTTTCTGTACATGTTCTTTGTTAGTTAAAATTACGAGATTACAGTGAAATTTAATTTTACTGGGACTTCAGGACAACATGATCTGTTTTTATCTAGTATTAATCTCAGGGATGAATATATTACCTCTAACTCAAAGTTAGGGGGTGGGCTTATCACAGGACACCCCTTCATGAAAAGTTAGGGGGTGGGCTTATCACAGGACACCTCATTAAGGGGATGGACTAACTAAAGTGTACTAAACTCAGGGAATTAATATGTACTTCATACTCAAAGTCAGGGGGTGGGCTTATCACTGAACAACTGACTACGGGATATTCTTATTGCAGGAAATATCATAGGTTTAAAAATTTACCAAACAACAACAAAATTTAAACATTCTTGATTTAACTCAATTAAATTTTGGCCTATTGCCAATTTCTGTCAATTAGTGCAAGCATTAATTTGCACATACACAGCCTATCACTTCTTCAAAGGAATAAACTGTACTGACCATCGCATTATCATCCTTTCTGACCGATTCTTCAAGTCTCTTTCATGATGCAAGTAAAGTTAAGTTTCACTGTATCAGGGAGTGTGATGTGTATATGGAGTGAAAGTGACAAATATCCATTTGATTTTTT